AAGATGATACTGATAACGAGGCAGTAGAGGGAATTGGCAGACAGATGAGTGAGGCTTCTGTCTCTGCAGCTGAAGAGGAGGAAGATGAAGAGGGAAGCAACAAGATTCAGTTGGGTCCTCAATGCACTCTTAAAGAACAGATTGAGAAGGATAAGGTGTGTTTCTGCTCAAACTCAGGGTGTAAAAGATTGTATCTTTTTCTCTTATTTAATTTCTTTTTGGCTGTTGACTTTTTTGTTGTTTCCACTCTGGTGGTTGACTTTTGTTGCATCAGGATGATGAGAGTTTGAGGAGGTGGAAGGAACAGCTTCTTGGGGCTGTGGATTTTGAGAGTGTTGGAGGTATCAGATTTCATTTCATCATCTCAGCTTTGCAATTTTACTGGAATTGCATTTCAGAATCTTTATTTATGTCAGCAGCTCTCTTTGACTTAAATCTTTCACTGTTGATGATTGCCAATGATCAAAGTGGTTAAATAATTGAAAATAATTAAAGTGTGTAACTTCCCTCTAACCCCATTCCCTTGCACTTTTATTTGATGCCCTGTCCTTTTCTTTCTTAATAATGATTCCTTTGACCCTTATCTTAAGAATCTTTGCATCCTAATATTTATCATTAGTTGAGTACAATTTCCTTGTTATGTCTGTTTCACGTGAGAATTGGCACATGTTTTATTTATTTATTTTGATTTACAATTCCACCACTTATGTATGTATAAAATGGCTAAGGACCAGCTTGGAGACGTTGCTCTTTTGGGCTATATGCCTATATGTGCTTATCTCTTAGTTCTATGAATCTCTTTGATGTAGGGTCCATAAATTTGTATCATTTCCCTTTTAATGAAAACTGTTATCGTGAACCATGATCATAACATGAATCCAACTTTCTCAAAAACCTGTCATTCGTATTGCTGTCTGTGAACACTTAAGAGATGATCTCTTCCACTTTTTCTTCTGCAGAGGGCTTGCTTGCAGCATAAGACCTATATTTATGACTTCATACTAAAACAACCATACTTGTTCAACTTTGACAACTAGTGATTCTTCACCTATCTGCCATTTTACTACAACATTTTCAGAACTCGTTGCCTCCAATCTTGTAGACTTGTGCAATTTAGAGATGAAGTTGTCGATTTTCGGTTTTCTTTTTATCTTTTTTTTTTCTTCCCTCTCATTTCGCAACCAACCTCACGGGTATAGTTGGCCATTTTAATGAGGTTATTTTGATCAGAGAATCCTACAAAAGCTGCATTCTTTACTAGTTCGATGGTAAGGGTGTATGTTTAGAAATAAGAATTTGGCTTTCTGCATTCCAACTCTCTGTTTCTAATGTTTTACACTCCATGCAGACTATAAATTTCTTAAAACTATGCCTTATCCATCTCTTTCCTTTTTTGTTTTAAATGGTTTCTTTTTATTTCTTGCACATAGTAATTCTTTCCCTTCTTTTACAACAGAAACTCTTGAACCTGAAGTGAAGTTCATTCAACTGTCAATCCTCTCTCCTGATAGACCTGACATTGTTCTTGATATTCCGGAAGATGGGAAACCCAAGGGCTTATGGTTTACGCTGAAAGAAGGCAGTCCACACAACCTGAAATTCTCCTTCCAAGTTACCAATAACATCGTATCCGGCCTCAAGTACACCAACACTGTGTGGAAAACTGGTGTCAAGGGTAAGTAAGCTATTTCCATCCTAATTGTCCTTGAAAAATGAATCATGATGCACTCGAATTGTTCCGTTCACAAGGATTTTAATTTCAGTTGACAGCACAAAAGAGATGATTGGAACTTTCAGTCCTCAGCCAGAGCCTTACACACATTTGATGCCAGAAGAGACCACGCCTTCTGGCATATTTGCCAGAGGATCATATTCTGCAAGATCAAAGGTAAGCCCAGTTGAAGTAAATACATAATCTTACGAAGATTTCAGTGTTTAAGATTTCCTAATTTACATAATCTTTCTATAATTAACTGAATGAAGTAATACAGTTACCACTATAGAATCTCATTCTGTTCTATCTCCATCTCTGTCTCTGCAGTTTCTGGACGATGATAACAAGTGCTACTTGGAAATCAATTACACCTTCGACATTCGAAAGGAATGGGCTAAATAAACAGACAATTTCTCAATGAGCGCCAGCATATCTTTTTCATTCGGCTTATGTTCTTGCACCACGATTAGCTTAAGATTTTTCCAGTTAATGAGTATCCAAACATTACTTACTTCCCTGGTTATGCTAAGTTTGTTAGTTAATTTTCATAACATTGGATTGCAAAGAAAGAGAGTCTGTTGAGGGGATTTTTTGTTTACTGCCTGTAATAAAAGGTGAGCTTAGATTTTGTTCTTGATTCACTGCATTTGTCTGAAGGAGTCTTCATTTCTTTGATTTCTTTAGCTGCTAAAGCCAAAGAAATATGATAGGCTATTTGAAAATTATTAAACAGTTTAGTCAATTATGCTAATCATAATTGACAGCTTGAAGACAGCATAGTTTGCAATATTGGGTTGGTGACAAGTGCTTCAAATTCACACTCAAACGTGAGTTGTTGAATTCAAGGAACCCTGATGCAAGATGCCCCACTTTCAAGTTTCATATAGAGCTGAGCATTGATTTTTCTAGTATGAACACAGAAGGGTACAAACACATGCCCTTTTCAAATTGAAGGTGCATGATATTTCAAAGATATACCCACAACTGAAAGGAACAAATAGAATCATTAACTCAGCTTGATTTGGCCATCCTAGCTGCTTTCTGCACCTGACAACAACCCACCATCCTCCCACCTCTTCTCCACTCATCTCTTGTTATGAATGCTTGTCCACATTCATATTTTTGGACTTGGCCTTTGTATGCCTACTAGAATGGACATGGGTTAACTTTTGTTAAGAACAAAGGCAAAGAGAGTTTGATGCTTAATTTAGTTGAAATATGCAAATGAATCTAGGTTACTTAATTCAATTTGGCCAAATATTTAGCATGTTATGTGGGCAGTCTATTAACGCCGGACGATACATATTTACTGTGATTTTGACGTAGTTAGCCCATTATGAGGTCGTAGTTTTATTACGGGCCTATTTATTAGTAAACAGTTTAGGGAGAGAGACTTGATGGGTGTATAATGCTTGATTAGCTACTTAACACAACACTAATGTGGGATTAGGATCCAACAACAAAATCATTCATACAAAACTGCATGACATAGACTTATGCTAATGGATGGATCCACTTGTAACCTTTGTTAAGTTTAATTTATATAACAGTGGTTAATTAATTAAACGAGGATCATGTGCCAAAACACTAGCCAACTAATTGGTTAGATGAATCAGAAAAATTGGCATCACACCTTCCCCACGTAGATGACAAATCCCACCTCTCTTGATTATGTGATTAATCAAAACACTAAACTTGATTTGACCGCAAATACCAATGACTTTCACATGCCATTTTTTTCAAAGTCTTCAGAATTAATTTACCAAAGTTTATAGAGGTCTACATCTAGAAAATAAAAAATATCCGTCTAGCTGTGAATGAAATATAAAAAATTAATTATTTAGTTAAGAGTTGATTAGTGCTCTACCCCAATGTTAGAAAAATTATTATAAGAATAGAGTAACGTTTAGTTTTCTCTTGTTCAATGATGCTGTCCTTAATTTACAGCATAATTAGTAATAATTTTGAATAATTATTCATAATAATTATAATTATGGGATAATTAAAATAAATAACAATTATTTTTTGAATGGTTTTAGTTGGCATGTGATCCCCAAAATAAATGGGCATATAAAATTTCGTAGTGTGGTGGGGTGTCTGTCTGTATGTCGGTGTGAGTAAAACACGAAGAAACGGTGTCGTATGTCTCGAACGACGGGTCGCTAACATTAACGGCGGGCGTATTTTCTCGTGAGCGACTACGCATGTTTGCCGAATCATTGGGTACAGTTGGCACGGGGACAACCAGACAGCCAATGCCCGTTGGCCCAAATCTCATGGTGGGCCCCACTATGCCGTTCCTCAATTGTGCAATTCTCCCCACGAGATTTTGATTTTCCAATTTTCCATATATTTTTATTTCATTTTTCTTTCCTTTTGTGTAATGGAAAAACTGAACTTGATTTTTTTTTTTGGTCATAAAATAATTACCGGTGGAGCTAACGGGGTCTAACAAAGTGATAAATGACATTGACTTGCAAATTGATTATCTCAAATTCGAACTCTCATAATATATTGATAGTGTGTGTGAGAAAACCCCCTTTTTCTTTTATAATCTAGACTATCACTTATATGTAAAAATAATAATAATAATAATAATAACTACGGGTGGAAGTTTCCGAGAATTGTTTTCTCAATCATCAAACATAGCCCATTATTTAGTTTCTCCCAAAAAAACAAAAACAAAAACAAAACAAAAAAAAAACACCTAGCCCAACTTCCCATGAAAAGGTGAAGCAGTTACAATCTCTTTTTCACTTTGACCAAGTATCCTATCAACAACAAACCAAAAGTTTGAATCAAGTTCATTCAATGCACAAAAAGAGGCTTATCATAACCATTAATCTAAGAAGATGGCCAAAAGGAATGAAAAAGGCATAACCAATCTTCCCAAGAGAAGAGAGGGAAAATGTATGCATTACCAAATACTTGGATGTCAATGGAAGTATAGGCAGTCCTTCTAGATGTTTAACCGTTTACTTTCCTTGGAGTTTGTTGATACAGTAAAAGTTAGTTCATACAGTAAAGTTAGCCACAAGAAGTGAACTTCAACTCCCAGCAAGCAAAATAGAAAAAAAAAACTCAATTACAGAATAATTTTTTTGAGAGACAATTACAGAATATAAAGCAACAGTTTCAAACTAGCATGAGAAGATAATTTGATGAGAAAATGAGGGACAAAATCTTAATGATGAGGTAGAGTGAAAGTTAGAGTCTCCAACCCAATGCATTAAAAAACTGAATTGATGGAGGTGATTTAGAAAGCACACCACCCTCCTACTACATGATGATGCATACACTCTTTTCTTTTGTAACTGAAAAGTCATTCCAATAAAAGGATTTGTTTATTTCAAGAAGCATCCTCAGTTTGCAAACAGCCTTCTAGTACACCCACTTCCTTCTTTATATCTCTTCACCACCAGGCACCAGCTGGTTCCATCCCCACTGCCATTCTTTTGTTTTTATCTTACCAACAAGAACCCATCTTTACTTTATAAAGTCTCACCACATTTCAGACTTTATTGCATTCTCAATCTCAACCTCAACCTCCTATTCTCTCTCTGAGTTCCTCTTTTGGTGAGAGGTCAGTGTTTTTAGTTTTAGTAGTCTCTCTCTGCTCAGCCTGCACCTTATTTTCATAAGGATTTTGTGTACAACTTTTGACTGCTTCTTTGAGCTTGGGAAAGTTTTTTGCTTTACTTCATATTCCATGATATTAAGTGTAATTTTATGCTATGTGAGACATTACTTAGCTGATCTAGATCTGATTTGTTGATGTACATTGTTTGACTGTGGACTCTTTCTCTTGTTCTTCTAGAGATTTGTTGACTTGGGCTTACTCAGAAACCTCTAGTGAGGGTGAAAAGCTCAAGGTACACAAACATGTTCTAGTGGAAAAGATGAAGTGCTCACAGAAACTGCAATTTTGATCTGGTTTTTTGCCATTTGTAATTTTATATTCTGAGTTCAGAAACAGGGAATTGGGTCAAATTCTAAGTTATATATCAACCTGCATTTCTTACTTTTCGTGTTTCCTGTATTGCAGTGCCATGTACTGTTGCCCCTGTTCTTTTAGTGCAGTCCATTAGATCTTTTATTAAACAGCCCCTACCACTATAAAGGGTATTTTTCCATTTTTTTTAATTTGTTGATCAAGATCTGGGTTTTCTTAACGGAGAGGCTCATTGTGTTTTTGAGATTTTCTTGATCTTACAAAGATTTTGCCAACTGGGTTTTGTGGGAACATAGTTCTAGTGCACTGGGAAAGGTGAAAAGTGGGATCTTGGAATTAATTGGAAAAACTTATACTCTGTACTCACTGACTCTGTGATTAACTGGCAATTTCTTTTGGTATTAGTGTTTAATTGGCATTTTACCATTGTGCATGTCTTGTCAAACTGAGATTTAGTTCATACTTAAAAAAAATTTCTTGCAGGAATTTGGAGAGTCTGTCACCATACAAAAATTACTATTAAGTTTTTGGACAAAATGGAACTTCCTGTGGTTTTCATGCTACTGCTTCTGTGTTCTTCAGCAGCATATGCGAAAACTTCTAAATCTCCCATCTTAAGCCCTACTCCAGCCCCAGCACCAGCACCGGAATACGTGAACCTCACAGCTTTACTCACTGTGGCTGGCCCATTCCACACCTTCCTTAACTACCTTGAGTCCACCAAAGTGCTTGAGACCTTTCAAGACCAAGCCAACAAGACTGAGGAAGGCATAACTATCTTTGTACCAACAGATAGTGCCTTCTCATCTCTTAAGAAGCCTTCTCTTTCCAATCTCACAGCTGACCAGCTCAAGTCACTCATCCTATTCCACGCCTTGCCGCATTACTATTCTTTATCTGACTTCAAAAACCTCAGCCAATCAAGCCCCATACCTACATTTGCTGGTGGACAATACACTTTGAACTTCACTGATGTTTCAGGCACCGTGCACCTTAGCTCAGGATGGACAGACACAAAAGTGAGCAGCAGTGTGCTTTCCACTGATCCTGTTGCAATTTACCAAGTTAACAAGGTTCTTCTTCCTGAGGCAATCTTTGGCACTGACATACCTCCAACCCCAGCTCCTGCACCGGCTCCCGAAACTGCACCAGCTGCAGATGCTCCAACAGCTGATGGACTTAATGGCTTATCATCTCCAGGATCTTCACCAGGAAAATCCTCTTCTTACAGGATTATCAGCTGGGGTATTTGGGGTCACTTTGTTTTGGCAGTCTCAGCTGTGCTGGTCTTGTTCTTGTGAGACAGACTTCACCATTGAAATCCCTTTAAGTTATGTTAAAAGGGCTTATATTCGCTTATTTTGTTCAATTGCTTTGATTTTGAAACCATTTTTTGTGGACATATGTGGGTACTGAATCTTTACGTGTATGAGAATTTGAGTTCTGTTGTCTAAATGAGTAAATGGCAATTTGTTTGACCTATTGTTTATACAGCAAAATGTTTTTACTGTAATGTTAACTTAATTCTTGTGTTGCCTTCCCCTATACAATATATGTGAAAATAAACTCGACTCATACTAAGAAATTGCCTCCAAGTCTTTTGCTTATCAGTTGGATCCCATATGGTGAGGAGCTCCTGGAAATTTAAAACCTTGCTGAAACTGCATATATGAAGATTGTGAATTCTACTAAGCAACTCACTTCTAATTGCTTTAACAATTGCTTTAGTCAACTGTCTACATCAGCTAATATGTGTAAATTAAGTTGTTTACAAGCTACCATTTCGTAATTTTATTTTTCTTTTTTGATAGGAAACTTGCACAAAGTTCCTACCTTTTCTTTTTATAGGTCCAACTTTCATATCTCCTCTTATTTGTTTGGAAATGTTAAATAATTATTGTAAACAATTGTTAAGCTCAAGTCAGACTGAAAATCAATGGGCCTATAATGTTCAGTCATCCTCTCAATCATATTGCCCTAGCTAGATAATTATTGGAATATGTCATGATCATAGAAAACTAACATTACAATAAATATAGAAAACTAGTTGTTTTCGACTATATCAAAACCGTACCATCATTGAGATCGAGCCTGAAGGTGAATTAAGATGGAGATCCGAGATCTCAATCTCACATGCGAGCTACATTAAGTTCATAAGTAACTTTTTTCTTTCTTGGGATTAAGTGTCCAAACAAGTAAGATTTACTTTTTTTTACAAGTGATAGTCTAAACTATCATGTTTACTAAAAAAAAAGGTCTAAACTATTCTGAAGTACTTCATGAGAGAGAGGGGGATCATGCTCAGGTGTAAGCAAGGGCGGAACCACAATATTAGCCTAGTCAGTGGCGGTGTACAGATGATCTTATTTATTTATTTTTATATTACTCTATTTACTTAAGTTTACAATGTAAATAAGGAAGTACCCCCCATTTGGATTCAAATAAAAATACTAGAAAATCAAATTCCAACCAAATCAAATTATGAAGAATCGATTTTAGTGCAAAATACAATTTAGGCTAAAAATGATGGCTCATTAAGTCAATATATACTTCATACTAAAATCCATTAAAATCAAGTTTTCTTATTTGATGTGTGAGGAATAAAAGACACCAAAAATTATCTTGAGAAAAATGATTAATCCGAAAACCCATTTTTTATACTTGTCAATATTTTTACATAAAACAATTTTTCATGTATGATATGAATGCATGAAGGAACCTAAGGTTAATCTAGGTAAAAAGTCTTAAATGTTCAATCCACTATGGTGTTAAACCCTATTTGGTTTATGTTAAAACTTATTGAAAATTAGTCTATGGAGCTATGAACTAGCATGGTTTATATGTTAAAGTTTACTATTATTTCTAAAAAGACTATAGAAATTGTAAGTACAAAAAAAAAATGATAATTAAATTTTAAGCTAATAACTTTAGCTAGCCCACCCGTTGAAAAATTCATGGTTCCGCCCTTGGGTGTAAGGATTTGGATACATTATCCTAGCCAACTAATCTAACCTTTATATGCAAACAAAACAAAAAAGAAAAAAAAAAGGATAGTTTCCTTAACATGGTTATTTTTTATTTATAAAAAGTAGAAACACAAAAAAAAGTTTATTAGGAAAGAAAAAGTGGGCAACCTTTTTCTCTTTCTCCTGTTTAAGATTGACATTTTCCATTTTGTAGTTTCCCCATTTTGGAATTGATGCCAAACAGACGTTCCCACGGGAATTGAATGGAGGAGGGTGTGTCTGTGTTCAATATTATTAGACATTCACATTCATAGACATATATTATGGACAAGCCATAGGCCACCTTGGACTCTCCTCCTCTGCTTTTGCATTTGCCTGATTGCCTTCCCTGGCTCTTCGCGCGTCCTATCGCCTACACGTTTTTCTCTCCTTCTCTCACTCTTTTCTTCTTTCTTTCATCCAACACAAACATAACTGTCTCTCTCTCTCTCTCTCTCTCTCCTTTCTCTTGCTGAAGAAAATCCAAGCTTGCACAAAAAGAATGAGAAAGTCCTTCAATTTCAGCTTTGTTTTCTGAGATTCCATAAGGTACTCTCGTACATTTCTCTACCTGAATACTCATTTCTCGACGTGGGTTTTGATTATTTTATGTGTTTATCAACATTACCATTTGATTCGATCACTGGGTCAATCCTGAAAGAAAAAAAAACGCGTTTTTTGATTAACATGCACGTTGGTTTGCATCTATGATATGGTTCCTCAATTGGGTTTCTTTTTATTTTGACATATATGGATCTAGTTTGTGCTTCTGTTGTTGCAAGATTGTTAATTCCATGCTAACTTGTCGAACGTTATGGCTATTTGAAAATTGAGGTATGTGATTTTGTTTCTGGGAAATCGGTGTTAAGTTTTTTGCACTGGGACTTCGGCACAAACAAAAAAAGGGAAGATGTCTGGCTTTGAGGGAGTTATTGTTTCTGATACATGGCTGCAGAGCCAATTCACTCAAGTCGAGCTTCGGACCCTGAAATCAAGAGTAAGCTTTCTGATTTCCTATCAAGTGGCAATTTGTATTCTAGATTGCTAGGCTATGTATGTTCTTTGGAGAAATTATGTGATCAAGTGGCAATTTTGTGGTGACATGTGGAATTGGTTGCATTGTTTTAGTATCTTTCAATAAGGAATCAGTCCGGTCGCGTCATTGTGGGAGATTTGCCGCCTGTTTTTGCAAAACTGAAGGCTTTCACCGAAATGTTCACCGAAGATGAGGTTAAAGGTGTCTTATTGGAGTCGAACAAGGACAGTGGAGAAGAAATTGATTTTGAGTCCTATCTTCGGGTGAGTCTTTGAAGCATGAGGTTATGTCTTCCATTTCTCCTGTATTTCAATTATATTGTTCATAGTCGGTGGATGGAATATGCTTTAGCTAAAATTGAACAGAAATCAATCAGTGAGATCTTGTGAATGAGCAGACCTGACTGGCAGTTCAGTTTCCTTTTAACTATAGATCATGTTCTCATATTTGTTGGACTGGTACAAGAAATTAATGGGATTTGCTAAATGGCAGACATATTTGAATTTGCAAGCCCTTGCAACAGCAAAATCTGGTGGTTCGAAATCTTCATTTCTCAAGGCAACCACAACAACTGTTCACCACGCGATTAATGAATCTGAGAAGTCTTCTTATGTTGCCCACATTAACAGCTACCTGGCAGAAGATTCATTCTTGAAGAAGTTTCTTCCATTAGATCCATCTACAAATTCTTTATTTGATCTTGCAAAAGGTGGAGTACTACTTTGGTAGGGTAACTGGACCCGCTCAACAATTTCCTACTAAATAGTGTACACAGGCATTTTCAAGTTTGTTAATTATTTTAGTTGCTTCATGTAGTAAGCTTATCAATGTAGCTGTTCCTGGGACTATAGATGAGCGAGCTATCAATACTAAAACTTCCCTTAATCCATGGGAGAGGAATGAGAACCATACCCTTTGTCTTAATTCTGCAAAGGCTATTGGCTGCACTGTAGTTAACATTGGCACACAGGATTTGGTTGAAGCAAGAGTAAGTTGAGCACTGCCAGCTACCCATTGGAAATTTTCCAGTTTCCTAAACTTTTTCTTAACATTTCACCATTTGCTTAATTTGCAGCCCCATCTAGTACTTGGCTTGATTTCTCAAATAATTAAGGTATGCAGTATGAGTTTTTTTATCGTTTTTGTTTTTGGTATATTTTTTATCATAGAGTCCACAATAATTTGATATTTGGGTTATAAAGGCTTGAACTTATAACTTGTCTTTTCATGTGGTGGCATTATCAGATTCAACTGTTAGCTGATCTCAATCTGAAGAAAACTCCACAACTTGTGGAGTTGGTGGATGACAGCAAGGTCACAAAGTTTTATTTATATTCATTTATCCTTGATTTAACAAGGGTGGATAATCTGTATGTACACTTCGTTATGTTGGTAGATGAACATGTAAGCTAACTTCAGCTATTATGTTAGTGGACAGGATGTGGAGGAGCTCTTGGGTCTACCACCTGAGAAGGTTCTACTGAAATGGATGAATTTTCATTTGAAGAAAGCTGGCTACGAAAAACAAGTTACAAACTTCTCTTCTGATGTGAAGGTAAGAGCGAGCTGACCAGTTTAGTACTGATAAGCATTTTATGCATAAACCTAATAGCAATGGTGTCAAAATTGTATTTCCAGTCTCCTCTAAACTGACCACTAAATTATCAATTAGGAAGGAAAAGCTTTTATATGTATTATACATCATACTTATTTGAGTCACTGTGCAGCTAGAATTTGTTGCTGGCTTACAAATAAGTTATATTCTGCATAAGACTTGTATCCAACGTGATTTTTTTATTTTTGTTTTGAAGTACGCTGTTGATTTTTTTGTTATCCTCGTGATTATGTAATAAGATTAACACATTTTCAGGATGGAGAGGCTTATGCTTACCTGCTTAATGCTCTTGCACCAGAGCACTCAGGCCCTGCCGCCTTGGATAAGAAGGATCCTACAGAAAGAGCAAACCTTGTTCTTGAGCAAGCAGAGAAATTGGATTGCAAAAGATACCTCACTCCTAAAGACATTGTTGAGGGCTCACCAAATCTTAATCTTGCGTTTGTTGCACAAATTTTCCATCACAGGCAAGAAACAGGACTTCTCAAGTGCTTTAGGCTTGCAGATTTCGAAATTCATTCATATTTTTTTTTTCGCATCACCAATTTACCATATTGCATGTTTATATTCGTTTTGAATACAGTGCCTGTTGCTTTCTAGCGCAGATCAATTATATTGTGTTCTATTGTTTTTGCTTATTGATTCTCCTTCACTATTAGTTGTTGGTTCTGATGTTTCAGTTTGCAATGCTGCAGTAGTTCTAAACAGTGTGTAGTGCCTTTTTGTTCAGATTAATATACTGTGTTAATGGTGTGTGAATTTGTCTTGCAGAAATGGCTTGACTACTGACAGTAAAAAAATGTCCTTTGCTGAGATGATGACAGATGATGCCG